AAAATGTTAATGGACAAACACAAAACAAAATGGATAGGCTTTGCACTTGTTCCTCAGCCAACAAAGGTCAGTATAAGTTATGAGTATAGTGGCATCTTCCTCAACTGGTATCTTTTCCCAACTGACCTTGTATATTAAATCACTTTTGTACATAATAATATTGTCATAGAAATATAAATTATATGCAAATAAAATACAGTAGACCCCCCTATAAAACGGGTTCCTATAATTACGATTCCTATAAGACAGCGAAAAAATTGCGACGGTATCCGTAAAAAACGGTAAAAAAAACTCCTATAATTACGTAAAACGTCATCGGGCAGCCGAACTACTTTCCGCGCCGTCAAGCACCACGCTACGGAGAGATTACTATCGTCTGTACAGTATTATATATAAATTATATATAAATTAGGTATTGTATATATAATTATATATTAACTTAATTTATTTAACTTTATTATAATTATATATATTTTTTCCGCCGCCTGGCACCACGCTACGGAGAGTTTAGGCTAACTATCGTCTGTACAGTATGTAAATTAGGTACCGTAAGTCTAATACAGTACTGTAATTTTATACATTTCTTGTGAAAAAAACATTTCTTATTCAATGGCGATAAAAATTATTTATATTAATGATGTCTCCAAAGTTCAGCGAAATTTTTGCAGAAAAATAACATCAGAAATTGTGGCCACGGTTTACTGAGTTGTTCCGCGACGAAAACAAGCTTGAGCAATGGCGATGTCGAATGGTGCACACTCTGTAAGTAATCCTACAATTTTTTGTTTATAGCGTAGATTATACAGATTATTTCCAAAAAAAAATATATACATATTTTGGAAATGTTCAGTCGGATTAGTCTAGAATCTATTAATTTTATGGAAGAAAACCTTTCAAACAGCGGTAGTCCGTAAACTTGACACGTGTCGGGCTGTGATTGGAAGGACTCGTAAGAAATCGGATTCCTAAAGAATGGAACGTATCTACTGTCTTATAGGGGGTCAACTGTATTATCATTATTATTTCTTTTCAGTGTTCACTTGCACTTTTGTTCTTTTTCTTGTATTGCCCTTACTGAATTGGCATTATAAATACAGATCTCATTCCTGGGATCAGTGGTGTTTGTTTATAAATGTAACATTTAAATCTAAAATTTACTAAATGAGGGCTCAGGTAGTATAAAAGAATCAAATCCCACTTTGGTTGCAAATGGACAGATTTGGAATAGTTCCATGATAAATTATTACAATTACTATTAAAATGAAATTACTCAATTCAAGGAAAGAAAAATAGTGTCATCACTTAGTAATTGTTCAAATTAATTACAGTGGGATGGTACAAAACCCCCATCTGAGCTATGTCAGGATAGTTAGATGGAATGCAGTATGGGATAAAGTGATCCCAATGAATTTTGTGCCATCCTAACTTCTTACTATCAGTTTTTGCAATCAAATTTTTATTGCATGTAATACAGTAAAATAGATACAAAGTCATGCAGGAATCAGGAAGCCCTTAAAATAATAAGTTGCAAATGGCATTATTTTAAAAAGTCATTGGGGTCATTCTGACCCTACATGGTATACCACAGATTAATTGAAGCAATATATGAATATGAAAAGTTAGAAGCAAAATATGAAAAAATTATTAGATAGATCAAATAAATAAAAATTGGCACTAGACAGGCTTTCCAGTATAAAATTTCCTGAGATTTCCAGGTTTCTCCATACTAAAAATCCAGAGAATCCCAGACTTTCCAAGCAAGTAGACACCCTGTAAAATTTAATATTTGAAACACAGCAATATATTTTTTAAAATATTCAACAAAATATTGATGTATATATCTTGAAGTTACTTAAAATCATATTATATAATAATGCAAAAATATTTAATAATAATTATAAGTAGAAAGATTTAATAAAAAGAGTTTAAGAAAGAACATTTACATATATTAAATTGTCTAATATTAAATTATAGTGCAATAATTTAACTTCAAATAACTTAAAGTAAAAATTATGTTATGTTCAATTCTTTTTCATAGAGTTTTGTTTCTTAGCTTCTCAATATTACTTAATCATTAAAAATCTATGCTCTACACAAGCAATTTTCATTGAAATGGTCTTATAATTGAACAAAATTAATAATTATTTTTTAAAATAAGATATTTAAAAGTATTTTAAAATTTATTAGCAGATTGTATATTTTAATTATACTGAATATAACAAAATTGTTTTTCTAATTAAAGAAATATATAACTTTTTAAATATGATGTACCTTATAATAAAGTACTAAAAATGACATGCAGTATTTCAATACAATTATAAAACGTGCCAAAACACAATGGGAAAGGAATATTTCAATTTTTGATTGAAGCAGATGCAAGCAGGTATTTAAAAAATACAAATATTAAAAGTATTTAAAAAATACAAATGGAAAGGATGCACTATTCTGTCTGTGCAGTCAATGCTTTTTAAAAATAAAGACTCAATTGCATAATACAACAAACATTTATTCAAAAATATGATAATATGTATATTATGGCTGTCATCTGATTAATTGAATCTAACTTTATCAAATATAAACTCTCCATAGTATCATATAACTTTATAACAACACTATTAATTTCAATGAACTTGTACTAATAGTAATTAAGTAAAAAAAATCAATAAATTAAACTTTTTATATACAGGTTTTTCAAGTAATTATTTAAATGTAAATTGTTATTTATTGATATATATGATCAAAATTGTACTTTATTTTGTACAAATTGAACAAAATTGTATTTTAACTTTATTAATAAGAAATTTATTTTATTCTGTCTTATAAGTACATAAGACAGAATAAAATAAACTTCTTATTAATAAAGTTAAAATTAAGAAGTATTTTGTTGAACCAATTATCACAAATAAAAGCTAAGATTCAGTTAAAATCAAAAAAGAAAAAAAATTATCCAAATTCACATTTTTCAAATATATAAACTTTGCTTCATGAATAGTGTTTTAAACATGTAATATCATCATATTAATGCTGTAAATATTAAAACTACTCTTAAAACTTTCTCAGAACATACAAAAATAATAGAATAATTTTTTTTGTATAACTTTTCAACTCTCTAATTGAAATATATTTATATCCAAAATCTAATATATAGATAATTGAAAATTTGTTGTATCAATAATTTGTTGTTATATCATGCAATAAATGTTATTGCAATGTTTATTAAAAATAATCAGTTACATCAAAAAAACTAAGTAAATCTCAAATAATTATAAATATACTTGCTATTGTTATTATTTGGCCATATTCATGATTAATAATATATAAATATATATTCGAATGGAGAAATATGAATAACTAAACAGAATTATTGGAATAAGTCTGAGAAAGAATTTTAATCAAATATATTTTAGAAGTTTTTGCCTTGTTTTTTGATTTCTTTTAAAGAAATATCATTCTCAAGAATTTAAGAAAATTCATGGTCTGTAATCATTAAAAAAAAACTGACTGTAATTGCCAATTAATTAATTGCTTGTTCAATTAATCAACCAAAAATATGATTAAGAAATAATCAATAATTATAAAAATGAAAGATTTTATTTATTATAATCTGATGTAATATTTTGGATTTTAGTGCATTATTAAAATGTTATATTCAAAATAAATATCTATTCAATATGTTGTTGGCATTTACATCACTTACCACTATAAGTTTACAAATGCTTTCAATTTCCATAACACATCTTAACAAACATTAATTTTAAGAGAGGTTTAAGAAAAATGACTTGAATTGTGTGTCTCAAAGTATATGCATATTGACAATCTTCAGGATTGTAATCCTTGACTTATGGTATTAGTATTTAACATTTACTAAAAGATTGGTTTGGTATTCATGAATAATTGTTGTGAAAACTCAAAAACACATGTAAACTTGGAATACTGAGATGTAAATTATAAAACATTATGCAGTCAAACATGAGTAGTGGACAAAGAGTCAATAATATTTTATTCTAGTAAGAAAAAATCTTAATTAAGCTTTAATCATCAACTATATCTGCATTTACAAATACTGAATTTAGAAAGTAAGAATGACTTACATTTAAAATAAGTTAGATTTTATGATGGAAAAATAAGCTCATTAATCATTTTTTCATTTATAATAATGATGATAATGTAATCATATTACTCTTGCTTTAAAGTGCAAAGTTTACAATAATAATCAAGAACAAAATACACATGACAGATATATTTAAAAATTAGCTATATTATTTTATAGTCTCATTGCATTTAGATAACACATCTTTCATAATTTTACTTTGTTTTCTTCTCAAGTTTATTGCCAGAGATATTTTGTTATAAAATTGATAATTTTATAACTTTTCTATATGCAGATAAATTCTTGCAATCATTTGGCTTTAATGCAGATAAATCTTTTATAAGTTAAATCACCATATTATGAAATCATCAATCCATCAGTGATATATTAAAATTGTTCTCTCTTCTCAATAGATATAAAGCACTTCATAATTGTAATGTACGCGTATCATCACACTTTACAACAGTTACCGTTGTACAGTTACAGTTGTAAAGTGTGATGATACGCGCACCGGTGAAAGGTTTATAGATACGAGTTGGTGTTACAGTACTATGGTGCAGATATTCCACCATTTTATTACAATTAAGTTATTTGATTATTATTATCTGATATTTTACTTGTATTAATCAGAAGTTAATTTTAAATTCAAACTAAAAACAGGGTGNAAATTTTTTACAACTTGCAGCAAATGATATAAAGAATTTAAACAAAAAATAATAATAAAATAAAATATTTCTGTAATTATGTCAAAGGATCTTAAAAAATACATTGTAACATGCAATCAATATTTTAATTTCTTCACTTATTGAATATTAGGTTATTAAAACTATAAATGTCTGAGTCTTCCCTACAACCATTTTCTCTGTTCTAAAAGACAAATTTGTCAAAATTGGAACAAAGGTATTTTTACCTATAAGGATATCTTCTCATGGTCAAGGGTGACCCATCACTTAACATGTCAAAACTGTACCTGACATAAAGGATATGGAAACTGTAGAACACACATTATATATTTGAATTTTTATGATAAAGAAATTTTGTCACAATTATACTTGCTCGATTAGACATCTGCTGTAGAAAATTTTGAACTCCATTATTCATTTAAGTATTTTTATATTATTTCTTTTAATTTGGAAAAATAAAAACATTAAACCTACAGTTAAAATTTATTTGCTTTTCTATCTTTTTACACAATATCTTACATTGTAATATTAAAAAAGTGAAACCAGACTATACTGAAACAAACTGGACATTGCTAAATCTCTATGATAATGGAGATTCAACAATAAAAGAAAATTTGGGTACAATATTGCTAGAAAAAACATAATGGGACTCAAAGCCACAACACCTACTTACTGTGCATAAACTGTATGTTGTCAATTTGTTATCAAGACTTCCATTTGATCTTCACTTCAAGATCAATTAATTAATTATTTTAGATATAATTATATAAATCACTCACTGTCAATTTAATTAATTAATTGGTCTGGAAGTAAAGATTGAATTGAGGTAAGGGTAGTAAAGGGTATAGCTGGCAACGCATCTGTACAGTAAGTAGGAATTACAGGTTAAAGTCCCACTCCAGGCCAATCTTTTCTTCCAGAATTTTTCAAATTAAATTTATTTATTTCTAATTATTAAATTTAACACAAGATGGCAGCTTAGCTGCCTACCACTAGCCAAATTCTTAATATCTTATTCATTAATCAGGTTTAAGGTAGCCTGATAAGAATCTGGCTGTTTAATAACGAAATACTAAAGTAATCATCTGGAAATGTCTAGTTAAAAATTTGAAGTGAAGAATAATGAAATTTAAAGCCTGTAAGTTTTTATTTTTGCTTTTGATTGTTAAGCAGCATATTTTTGCCTAGACACACAAAATATGACTGCTTAACAAACAAATCCAATTAAAACAAACTAGCAGTTGAGATGTCAAATGTAATAAATATGTTTAAAAATATTTTAGGCTCAATTTCATCCTAAATTGTAATTGATGTTTCTAAATTGATCTTTAGCTAAATGTACAACATAGCAAAAATTAAAACATTCCATTTTATAAACATCAGAATTTTAACATTTATATTTAACAAACTTACAAACAACTTTTACAAGACCATAAAAATATAACTTTATAAAATAATAATGAAAATTATTACTGATTTAATAAAATCTGTAATAAAATCCAACATTGTTAGAGTCATCACAACAGCAACAATAAACTAAAATAATTTACAAAGTTAACATATTTTCAATTAGATTAAAAAAGTTAACTCTTTTATATTAACTTAGATTTTTTTTTATTATGTGCATCATTCATAATGATATATTATTATATATATAAGTTATATATTTTTATTATGATTATACATATATAATAGTATTGAAAAATACATATAAATAAATTCATAAATATACACACACAATTATAATGCAGCAGAATATTTGGCATTAAACATAAAAACAGCTAACAATTTGTCTAAAACTTTTTCAAATCAAGAGATTGAATGTTGTTTCTTTTTATCTTTTATCTACCAGTAGGTCATAACCACAATTTATTGTGAAGTTCATTCAACACTTTTGATAACATGTAAAAATTATCATCATTTTAATATATATATTATTCCAAATGTTAATGTGTTTTAATATATAAATATAACAAATTTCTTACTTCATTAGTATTTGTAAAATTTGTTTCAAAAATTTATATATATCTCAATATGTTTCATAATTGTGAATTATTATTCAACATTTCTAATGACTCAAAAAATACTGATTACAGATTAATATTAATGTTGTGTATATACATATAATAACATCGCAAAACCCAAGTAGTATACAAGGGTAGGCTGAAAAGTAATGCACACATGCTTGTAGAACACGAACAAAATCAAATAGCAATATCGAGCAAAAAGTACATTAAAGTACAATTCTTAAGCTTCAAAATCATATATTTATTTTTCAACATAGTCATCGTTAAGGCTAACACATTTCTCCCAACGTGTAACAAGATTTTCATTCTGTCGCTGAAAAATTCTTCCAACTTTTTTCGAATCCAGGACTTGACAGCTGCCTTCACCTCATCATCCGAGGTGTAATGATTACTCTTGAGGTCTCCCCTGAGTAGAGGGAAAAAAAAAAAATCACAAGGTGCAAGATCAGGGAAATAAGGCGGGCATGGAATTGGTTCAAACTTCAGGTTTCGCAGAGCATCTCCAGTTGCGTGCTAGGTGTGTGGACAAGCGTTGTCATGTTGCAAGATTATTGGTTCCAGGTGATTATTTGTTGTGTTAGAGGAAGCCTGGCGCCAATAATCTTGAAGCATGACAATGCTCGTCCACACACCTAGCGCGCAACTGGAGATGCTCTGCGAAACCTGAAGTTTGAACCAATTCCATGCCCGCCTTATTTCCCTGATCTTGCACCTTGTGATTTTTTTTTCCTCTACTCAGGGGAGACCTCAAGAGTAATCATTACACCTCGGATGATGAGGTGAAGGCAGCTGTCAAGTCCTGGATTCGAAAAAAGTTGGAAGAATTTTTCAGCGACGGAATGAAAATCTTGTTACACGTTGGGAGAAATGTGTTAGCCTTAACGATGACTATGTTGAAAAATAAATATATGATTTTGAAGCTTAAGAATTGTACTTTAATGTACTTTTTGCTCGATATTGCTATTTGATTTTGTTCGTGTTCTACAAGCATGTGTGCATTACTTTTCAGCCTACCCTTGTATACTACTTGGGTTTTGCGATGTTATTATATGTATATACACAACATTAATATTAATCTGTAATCAGTATTTTTTGAGTCATTAGAAATGTTGAATAATAATTCACAATTATGAAACATATTGAGATATATATAAATTTTTGAAACAAATTTTACAAATACTAATGAAGTAAGAAATTTGTTATATTTATATATTAAAACACATTAACATTTGGAATAATATATATATTAAAATGATGATAATTTTTACATGTTATCAAAAGTGTTGAATGAACTTCACAATAAATTGTGGTTATGACCTACTGNCCCGTCCCGGGCCAGTTCTTTTATTCCAGAAGGTTCTAAATTTATTTAATAATTTATTTATTTAATTATAATTATTAATTTACTTAAGAGATGGCACCAAACGTCTACCTCTAATGTCAAATTACTTTATACCAGTCATTTAATTAGCCACATTATATTTCGATATTTAGGCTATTGTTTGGTGATTTATTGTTGTGTGTATATATATATATGTTTCACACTGCAAAAACTATTTTAAATGATGAGTTATTTGTTTATCTATTAAACTATAATCATATATACTAAGATTCAATACACATTTGTTTATCAAAATAAAATGACAAATGACAAAACACAAATTCTGAAATTTCTATTAATTAGAGTTTCTATAATCAAGTAATATCTCACAATTACTCTGTACAGTTAAACATTGACTTATAATTTTAATGCAAAGCCAATTAAATAAAAACTGAGTTCTTAAAAATTTCATTAAAATATATTTCAAGTTTCATAATCTATGGAGTTCAAAATTTTCATAACAGACTTTAAAAATTGAAAATCTAAATTAACTAGAATTGTTACATTAAAGCACATAAATTTTAAAATATTTTTAAAAATGATAAATAATGGCTAAAATAAGATTCCATATATTTTATTAAAAAGTAATTAAGTTTATAGCTGTTTTTTCTGGTAAAATCAATAAAAACTTTCACAAGAAAATGTTTTAAAAAAGTTAAATATTTTTAATACTGAAAAATCTGGAAATGATCTTGTTTTGTAAAAAAAAATTATGGAATTCTTGTAATAAAAACTGTTACTACATAAAAATGATTGATGTATTTTCAGTCCACCACTAATTTTAGCATGATCATCTAAAATATTCTACAGTTCAAAACTGAATATGCTGTTAAATACAACTTCAAGCAAATAGGAACTGAATCAATAACTATAAAAAAAAGTGATTTTTCTTTCACTGATTCTGATTAATCAGCAAGTGTTCTTTGATTGGTACAAAATAAATTTTAACTATCCATTTGTTACTTGGCTTGTGAGATCTTTTTATCAGTTTTTATTTAAAGTATAATCTTGAAGTTTTATGTCTTTCAGTAGCTGTATTATTAAAGTTAGAATCTAATTTGTTAAAACATTTTAAAACTATATGTATGAACTCTAAACAATTAAAAAATTAAACAACTCTAAATTGAGAATTTAACCATTATTTAGATATGTCAAAACATTAATATTTTAATAAAATATTTATATAAAATTAATAAATATTAATGTATTAATTGAAAAATGCTTTGTATGAAAGAATTTCTGAATTTTCAACTGTTAAATTTATTTTTTCTTTTTTATATAATTTATCATTCAATTTTTTATAAAAATTTGCAATGTTATCTATAAAATTTTTACATTTCTATGTTATTTTTCACTATACTATGCATATGTAGCTAGAACTATTTCTAAGATTATCAGCACAAAACCTTTCTCACTAATTTCTAGCCTTATTCCTAACCGACGCTCCACAGTGTACCCGAGGAAGGCCTATTAACAAGGCCGAAAACGTTTGTACTCCTGTTAATAAGGCTAGAAATTAGTGAGAAAGGTTTTGTGCTGATAATTTTTCACTATATTAAATTTCCACAATATTCTAAAATTTATAATTGATAAAATTTATTTTTGTTACAGGAAGACAATAATAATAAAAATTTTTTAAATATTGTTTTAATCTTATAAGCTTTTAATTAATATTATCTAAAAGAAATGACACTCCAAAACTCTTTAAATACTACTTTTTGGTATTAAGTAGACTTTATATCAATAATTTTAAAATTAAATTTATTATTTGATATAATGTAGATTACATCAAATATAAGTCAAATTAAAACTATAAAACTGAATTAGACAAATGTGTCATTATAAATAGTTTTAAGTGGGAAAAAAATTTTGAGTGATGTTGTGTTTAAATTCTTTGATATCATTGGATATTTTATTTTAATATATAATAATATATAATAAATTATTTTGTTACCAGTTTATAATCAAGCAAATGTAATTAAAATTAAATGCTATCATTGTATTTCATATGTATTTATTCAATTTCATAACACAGTATGATCAAATATAATTGATTAAATACTACATATCATAAAATTATTTTAGATACATACACAGTATTAATTTGGAATAAACTAATGCTTCTTTTTCATGACTTACAATTTATATTGAAATTAATGCAAATAGAATACATGAAATAACAAATTAAATCATTCTTAGACAAACAAGCTGTTCACACGAAAACTTTTACCTTCTTGAAAATAAATATTTTTTGTAATTTATTGATGATAAATCTTAAGCTATTTTTTTACGAATCAGTTTTCTTCTAGTTTAATTTTTTCTCTTCAACAGCTAATTTAATACATATAAAAATACAATATAAAAACAAAATTAGCTTTTAATATCAATATATATGGAATCTTATGTTTGCACAATCTCTTATTTTTTTTATAAATTATTCTCATTAAATTAAAAGACATCAAAACTCGAGCAAGTAATTATTCTAAACAATTTTGTTGTACTACCTGATTATGTATAATAATTAATATTTTTCAATTTAAAATAAAATCTGTTTATAAAAATGTTTACTTTTCTAAAATTAAACTTGCACAAATATCTATTCTTAACTATACCTTGGTCCAGATCTGCCATTTAACTGGCATGTATCAACCCTTTTTCTTGGAGGATCAACTGAAAATTAAATGATATAAAAATAATTATAAATTTTATATGTTTTCCATCCAAGTATTTAAATTTTCTTTATACATTTCCTCACCTGATTCTGAGCGATTTCGAAATATTAAATCTGTTTCATCCTCATAACAAGGTCGTCTTCTTTTCCTATCTAACAATAGGAAATAAATCACTTTTTCTGTATTGTGGCTGGAAACAAAAATTTTGAAGTTTATAAGTGAATGTTTTAAAATACTCAAATTAAAACTCTTAGAGCATTTTAAATGTTATAATAGATTAAATTTTATAATTTTTTTTCTGGATTTTTCATAAGAAACCTCTAACAATTAAATATGAAGACAGAAATACATGTGGTAACATTTGATAAAAATTAAAAAATAAATAATTATATTTTGTTAAATTTTAAAAGTTGCTTTATAAATCACACCATGTACTAAGTAGTTCTTGAATTAATTTATCCTTTTCTTTAAAGCATCCTAAAGATGTCATACTGGATAAGACATCAGGATCCAAATCATCAACAGATGGTATGATATGGGTCTATAAAATAAATTTTTTAAATTCAGTTAATTAAATTTCTTTTCATTTAAAACAAATTACAATAAATCACCTGAACAGCTTCCTTCATTGGCAATTCCAATTCTAATTCAGTCTTGCTACCACTAAAATTTAATTTAAAATAAATCTTAATCCTTTTTGTTTGTTTTCAAATTATTCATTATTTATATTACTTACGCTGTAACCCAAGGATGACGGGTAACTTCAGCTAACTAAAAGTAAAATAATTCTAAATATAAAATGTTTTCACAAAAAATTTTTATATATAAAATATAGAAATAAGAAATGTCAAACAAATATTTTTAAATGAAGAATAATAATAAAAATTTTAAAAATGTAAGTAAGTTACAAAAATACTATTTTGTTATTTATACTTTTAATTTAAATATAAAATAATGGAAATAATTTAGATATATTTTTGGTTAGAAAATTATAGAGCAATTTTTTGTAACAGCCTATTCTGTCCTAATACTTTTATTAACATCCCTAATGTAAGCTTATTTCAACTTAATTCTACATATCATAAAAGGAGTTTAACTAACATAATGAACTAACTCAGAAGTGTTAATTAATGCAATTTAACAGTGGATGAAGTTAAAAGAATGCAAATGTCCCTCTAGGGTCAAATTTATTAATAATTTATAATTATTATTGCCAAATTATAAGCCCAATGTTATATGGTAGTTGAAGTAGTGTGAATGCTAATGTTTTTGACCCAGTTAATGAGTCATTCTCAGGAATAGACAATTGAAAGTGAAATGCTAGTGTTGGAAGGAAAGAACAAATGAATAGATTCCAATAGAATAAACAAGTGTGAGAGATGGACTATGCCTTTAGTAGTTGATGTGAAAGAGTAAAGAGATATTGCCAGGCAGAGGGAGGGAGACCTTGTTCCTTCTGTTTATACACATGAAATAGTTATAAATTTTGTACCTCTATAATGCTGGCTTGAGATGGTTCAGATGATTTTGGCAACCAGTCAATCTACCTTTTTGCCAGGAAGTTGTGTGTAGGAAGCTAAAAATTTAGTGGCCTCTCCTCAGGCTCTTTCATATTTATGTTCAGAGAGCTTCTGATCAAGGAATCTTTAAATGTATCTGACATATGCCATGTTGATGCCACACTTGTCACTTATGGACAGGATAATGTATACTCCACACACCTTCTGACATTAACATTCCACTTTTGACTGTCCATTCAAGGATGGTCTGTAAACTGGGTCAAAAACATTAGTGTTTTTTTTAAACTTCATCCATTGTTAAAGGTGCTTTAATTAATTCAGATTAAAAGATTAACCTTTTAATTCAACCAAATACAAAGTTCAACCACAAAAATTTTACTTGATATAATCAAAATAAAGAGAAATGAAAATTAGATGTAACTTCAGAATATGCTATAGATATACTTTAGAACAAAAAGCAAATCTTTGGTTGTCAATTTCCAAAAGAAAGCAAAAATCTGAGAATTGAATAAAATTGAGTCCAACATAAGCAGAAAAGTTCAATTACTGTCATTTACTCTTCATCACATTCCCTTTTTCATTGAAAAACTGCTTGAAAATTTCAAAGGTGGCTGTTGACTAGTTTCTGCCATTTTTTCAACAGGAAGTATTCCAACTGCTCTTCAGTATGTGAACACCATCTAGAAATGTTACACTTCAAAATTCACAACATAGTCTTGATTGAATTGAGATCAGGAATACAAGTTAGCCACTGTAAAGTCAGAATTTTGTTTTCATATAATTAAATCAGTGATTTTGTCTTTGTGTAATAGAGTTGTCTTGCTGAAAAATGCACACATGCTGGGGAAACAACAAGCATTCAGATGTCAGAAATTCAATTTACAAAATTTTAACATAATTATTAGCTCTGATAGTGCCATGGCACATACATAAACAACTGACACTATGAGTTGACATACAGCCCCAAACCATTACTGAATTTGTTTTTGAATTCTGAAACTACATTGTTTTTGAATAGCTCTTTGATACGATAATGGTTGTCAGCTTCACCTTTCTGTCAGATCACTCTTCAATCAACCAAACAATATGATATTCAGAATACCAATTCATCCAACCAAATCACATATTTCCACTTTTGTAGATCCCACTTCAGTTGGATTCTTCCAATATTTTGAACTAAATTTAACATTGTTAGGTACAGTTTTTGCTTAGGATAATACAGGCAAAATTGAATTAGGCTAGCTATCAATGCACTATGTTTAGGAATGCTTATGTAAAACATTTTCCTTATCTATTCATTCAGTTATTTCTGTAACAAAGATGTTACAGAAATAACTGAATTTGATGATATAGTGTCTTAGCAGATGTCTCTATTGAGGTATCAGTAAGCAAGAACTTTCATCTTGTCAGTGTCACAAGACCCATCATTACATAATGTTGTATAATTAGGCATATGGCACTTTAAAAGATGGACATCTGATACAATTTTGCACTCAGAATATCCCTAATGATGTTTCTCAATGATTAGTTTGCAAACTTCCTCATTTACCTCTTGGCATTTTGTACAATTTGTTATTTTTTTTAAATATTCTGGTCAGTACTGCCCCACACCCCTATTTTACACAAGTCTTATTTTTCAGTCTGAAATAAGTCTTAATACTTATTTCAGGCAGGTCAATATGTACTGATTTCAGACACTGGTTGAACCTTTCTCACATGTGTTGGGCTCAGTTTTATTCAGTTCTTTGATTTCTGTTTTCTTTCAAGAATTAACTTTTTATGTAAAAACAAAGCTTTGGTTAAAGCTTTGTTTTTACATAAAAAGTATATACATGTATATTTATTTATTCTAGTTACATCTTATTTTCACTTCTTTATTTTGATTATATTGAATAAAATTTGTATGGCTGAACTTAAGTGATTTTGTACTTTAACAAATGTTTTTGATTTAAAATTTTTAAAAACAATTTTTAAGTCATTTTTAAAATAGTCATCATATCAAATAAAAAATAAATACAGCATATAGCATATGTATTGTCTCAATCACACCAGATTTCACATCATTATGTTACTGCTCCAACATTTTACTAATTTAAGAAAGAACAACAAAAGTAGATGCAAATCTTTTGTTAAAATGACATTTTTTTGTGGGCTCTTGCCAGGTGTCTGATTTGTTCTGTCCTCAATTAGATAAATAAAATCCCCAATAAAAATATTTTACTGGCTGCTGCATATCTGCATCTTGTCAACTCTGCCTTGTCCCTCTGACCATCTGAGAGGGGAATGTTTACAAGTTAATAGAAAAAGCTACAGGAAAGGGAGAAAAGGTTCAAAAACCAGATGTAATTTTTGAGTCAATCACTATTTCTCAATATATGAGAACATGTTCTATCTTCCTTGCAGTATTCCTTTTGTTTTAAATAAAGCAGTAGCGAAGTTTGTTTGCTAACTTCTTTTCCTCCTTTATGTGCCATAATGTGTATTTGATCAGCAACCTGTTGTTTGATAAGTTCAAGTGTTGTTTGTGGGATAAGGTTGTTGTATATAATTGTTCTTTTTTGATCGACTACCCTTTGTTCAGTGACAGTGAGGTGAGGATATTGTTGTGTGAATCTATGGTGTAGTTGTTGTCTGTATGCTGTCATGTTTGTTTCAAGTTTTGTGATTGCATAGTAAGTACGGATGATAAACTCGTTCATTTCTGTTGTCCATTTCATCCGTTGGCGTGGTTTTCCAGCCTTTGTGGTCTGTGGATGCATTGCCACAGAAACACCAAGGCTAGGTTGATTCCTCACATCTGTTGAGGGCATTGCAGTAGCCATGCTTGGGCTGACGCTGCTTTCGCCACCGGTAACCAAGGGAGACTGCGGCCTATTTTACGAACGTGAGCCTCTGCCTAACCCACAAATGCGGATCTTGGTAACCCAGGCAACGTCCGAGCCAGTATCACACTTTTATCTGGTTACTACCATGATAATTATCTCCACAGAATGTGGGTGTGGTCACTCTTAGCTTCATTTTTCCCCATAGACCTTACTGGCATGGGTGTCCCTACCAGGAGCATGTGCTCCAGCTTGCATTGCTCTATGGTTCAGTAAAATTACTGGGCTCTCCCACCATTACCAGGTGGTGACCATGGGAGAGTTATTATTATTATTATTATGTTATTTTAAGCATTACAAAAAAAAAAAAATTTCAAAGAATTGAAATATTGAAATTATTCAAAAAAATTATCTGAAAATAAACTCAAAGTAATTGTAGAAATAATTAACAGTTTTTCACAAATTAATTTCATTTTTGAAAGAATTTCAAAAGTGAAACTTAAAAACTATTTGTCCAATCAAATGTTTTAAATTTAAATTTATATAATTTTTTAGAATTTCTTCCATATTTCTTTATTTTTCTATAAAAAAAATTATCTAAAGCAATATAGAATAAAACTAATTTAATATATAGATATTACTTATAGATATTAGTGTAAAAGATATTTTATATAAACTTACTGTTAATCTTTTTTCTGTGTTTACTTCTATCATGCCTCTTAACAATTCTTGGCATTCTGGAGGCACAAAATGGGGAATATGAAAAACACCACGTTTTACTTTTTCTAACAATTGTCGCAAGTTGTCATCATCAAATGGTAAGGCACCCTATCATAATAATAGTTTTCATTATGGAAATTTTTGAGAAAAACATACATCATCATTAACACATTTAAATAACTTTTTTTCAAATGATATTTCAATCTCTCAATAATTTTCTTACCATTAACTTGTCTAATACTAAATAATAAATTTCATACATTAATACATTTATAATAATCTAAAATAAATAAAAGAATGCTTATTGATAAACAATTGTTATTATGCTTTTCTAAAAATCCAAAAGTTTATAAAACTTAAAAGATTAAATTCCTGAAGGTATTAATCTAAATAGAAATCATATAAAAGCTACTTCAAGAATGGAAATCAATTATATATATATGAAGTCCTCAAGGACATAGTGCTAAACCTCAGAATCACATTTCTGAAGTATTTGAGATTGAATGTGAAAAAAATCATGACATCATATGACAAGGTTTATGTCAATATTTTTGCTCTCCAAACTTTGCCTACAGATGTGGCTGTCATCTCATGCTCAAAACAGAAAAAAGATTACAATTGCTGATAAAAAAATCCCACAAGAAAGATTTCACAGGTCAAGATACTGTGGAATAAAACTACATGTCTGCAAGGACTTTTGCAATTTTCATATCATTGCTTATTGAAAACAAAAAAAAATATTGTCTAGAAAATACTTTATATTTTTATTTAATCCTTCTGCTTACATTATTTTATTTTGGGGGGGGCGCTTTTGACAGTGCTGGCTATTTGTGTATTTTTTTACAACTTACTGTTACAAACTACAATTCAATTGTTTGCTATTAATTGACTTTAATGAGGATGTCTTTTTCTACTGTGATAGTTTCTTTTTTAATTTTGTTCTTTTTGCTTGTTATTGGAGGAGTTGAAATTAACCCAGGTCCAATGTCACCAGAAGAGAGACCCTTAAAACGTGCATACCTGACCTTGAAAGGCTGATACAGGGCATGCCAACTATGCAAAAGGAGTATTACAGATGGATTGCCTCTTGCAAGCTTACAAACCGAAGGGATTCTACGCAAGTACGCTACTTTAAAGAAGACCTGTCACGCGCAATTAAATGGTTGCGCGATAATAATATTACGGTCATCAAAGCTGATAAGACCAAAATGTTGGTCTTAATGAAAAGGAACACGTATGAGAAGGAGATGCAAGAATACATTAAGGATACGAGATGCGTCGTACAACCAAACAACGTTATTGACAAACTACACAATAAGATCAAACGCTTCTCTAACTCTAAACTGGCTTCTACGTTAGGAATGCGGGATATTGTAATGGACGCACCTGATACACCCAAACTTTTCGCGTTTGCTAAAACGCATAAGCAGGGCCACAAATTGAGACCTGTGGTAGATAAGGCCACGGCCCCCACTCGCAAGTTGGAAGCATTCATGCACGATCTTATCTCTCCTAAGTTACAGGATTACCAATACACAATCTCCAATCTGGTTGAATTAATAGCTTGCCTCAAAAACTCCGAAAAGCCTGCGTACATCTCTGTTATGGATTTCCGTGCTTTATATCCTTCCATCCAATTACTACCATGTTTTTGCGCACTCAGGGATTTTCTATTCCGTAACGTTTATAACCAGGAGTTACACCAGCAAGTACTTGAACTAGCACATTTGATCTGCTACAGCTCTATTTTTCAATTTGGTGGAACCACATATGCACAGGGCAGAGGAGTGCCTATGGGAAGTGCAGTCTCAGGCGACATTTGTGAACTGGTAATAAGACAGCTGGAAGATAAAACAATTCCTAGTTTCTCCCACAACATCTTAGTATACAAGCGATACATAGACGACATCATTATTTTGTGGAAAAACGACCCAGACATCACCCACTTTATTAATCAGATGAACGACAATCCGTATGGCCTTACCATAGAGCTGGAACAACATAGTGATAAGGATGTACATTTTCTTGATTTGAGCATTACGTTTGGAGGAGACACCTTGGAAACTTCTGTATACCGCAAAGCTTGTCACTTCCCAATGTATATCCCAGCGAACTCCTGTGACCCATTCAGATATAAAATGGCGGCCTTTAAAGCACTGATTAAGAGGGCCCACACCCATTCTTCAACTCAGGAGGCATTAGTTCAAGAATTGAACTATATACTTAACATCGCCGGTCAGCAGGGATTCTATAACATGGTCCATAAGTTAGCCCGACATTACAGCGTCGGCCTACCACCGCCACAGACGGGGAATAGTATAGAACAAGACCTACCCATCACAATAGTCACATACAACCCCTTCCTCGTATCCTTATACCAAAAAATCGCTAAAAAACAAGGATTACGACTGTCGTTCAGAAGATGTCCGTCTATGTTTAAGCTTTTACGCAATGAAAAAGATAAACCTAAGGAGGATAAGCTGCCAGGGGTATACGCTGTTCCCCTCGTGGACCACAGATTTGAGAGACAACTTATCTACATTGGTGCTACTAAGCGTTCGATCGGTGTCCGATGGGCGGAACACAAAAGTGACATCATCCACAACAGAGCTACTACTTCGTTATCCACGTATGCTTCGGACCCGGAAATTTCGGTAGACTTTGATAACGCTAAACTCCTCATTACCACTAAATTTACGGATCACATCAAATGGTTGGAACAAATGGAGATCTGCAAGGCATACAAAACGGCTGAACCTATTAACTCGAGGGATGAAATTACCCTATCCCTTGCATGGCAGGCTCTAATACAGAAAGAAGATACGCATTAATAATGCGTTTCATAAATAGGATATAAACATCGTGCATTGGAATTTTTTATACCGAACATTTTTATTTTTTATTATATTTATTTACGGAATTCGGGAATGCACGTGATTCACATTAACGTTGAATTTTGACTTTTGAAATGTTGTTCGGAAGAATAATTTTTCGAATATCGCTATTTACGGGTCTTCGTTCATAGTTATTCTATAGATGAAATGCTGCTTGAGAAAGATCCTAGGGAAAGAACCAAAAACATTCGCAGTACATTTTACGATTATTTAATACCGGTTATTGGTTTTAATAAGTGATATTTTTTTTTTTTTTGATGATTTGTCATATAGATCAAGACTAAGGCATAGAAAATTGTTGCCTTTTTTTGCAGAAGCTAAAACTTTGAATAAAAAAGTATTTCTGAAATCCAACTGCCTGACAGTTGATGGTGACAAATTCACTTTCAATTTAGAAAGTGAATTTGTCACCAGTTTCAATTTAGAAACAAATGAATTACAGATTGATACTTTTTTAGACAAATCCAGCCAAATGGGTTAAGTGGAACAATTGCTAAAGAGAGAAATAAAACTTTAGTAATGAGAATATTGTCTTGGAATTGTCAAGAAATGCTGGACTTGACAGTGAATGACCAAGAGTTTATATATTTATTGCTAAATTATGATTTAGTTGGTTTTACTGAGACTTGGTCAACTAACTCTTATAAACCGGTACTTTCTTTGTTGAACCCAGATTTGTTTTTATATGAACAATTTGCTAGAAAACCAATTGGTTCCGGTCATCCATATGGTATTCTCATTCTTGCAGTTTCCCAAAAATTAGGTTCTTTGAAAATGTTGTTTAACTCTGACAATCTAATAGTGATTAGATTTAATTATAAGAAAAATTTTTGTTCACCTAGTTATAGTTTGATAATTGTTCTTGTTTATTTGAGAATAAATCTTTATAATGTACTGTTAAAAAAATGAAAGACTTGTTGATTCATTTCTCTGAGGATGATATAGTTATTTTGGAAGACATGAATGCTAGAATAGGCAAGGAACTAGATAATTTTTATGCTGGGAGTAATACTAATGTTTTAAATTCTTGAAGATCAAATGATTTAATAAATCAAAAAGGAAAAAGTTTTTTACAATTGATTAAGTCGTACAAATTGTATATTTTAAATGGTCAATGCGTGTTATGTTCGTGGAAATAACGATAACTCGTAAACATATATAACTAGCTTTATTAACATAAACGTAACTATGAGTGAACAACGTATCATCATGTCCAGGTCTAGGGGTTACAAAAAACTAAAGACAGCTCGTTGAGACAAAGAACACACACGAGGTTGGAGGTGTGAGGTGACCTAAGTAGGTCAAGAGGCAATTCCCGGTAGCGGTCATCCCCTGGCGGTTTACATACATAACAATTCTCCCACACTTAATAAAATGTTATTTAAATTTGTTCGTTTAGAGATTTAGGCGTTGTACTGGATTCTGTATTCGTGTTGATCTTCGAGGTTCCGACTCATTTCCATTTGTTATCGTTCGGCTAGATTCTCCCTCTTTCTCTGGGGGCTGGTCTGAAGTTGTTTTTGTCATTGTCTCCTTTTTGTTGCGTAATGTCATTACAGTTCCTTCGTCGTAGCTAATTGTGCTAGGGTGTGTACTAGCGCTAGCTGAGGATAAGTCCCTATTGTTTACTGTGTCGTTGCACTTGTCAATTTTCTTTTTGTTGAAGTCGAATCCTATCTGGACGGGAGTTGTCTGTTTGTTAATTTCACACAGACGTAGTTGATCATAATGCCTTTTTATTACGTATCCATCGTCGAGTTCAATTAAGTAGTGTACACGACCTAGTCGTTCAGCTACGATACCATATTTCCAAGGACCGGAAGTTGTGTAATTTCGGGATTGTACACGATCTCCCACACGATAAAATTTGTAGAATTTCGGTTGTTCGGTTATGTTCTTTTCGGAAGCTTGTGCCTGGGGTTTGAGCAAATCTAATTTTGTTCTTATTGTATGTCCTAATAGATTTTCTGCTGGACTTTTCCCGTTAGATAAGGGAGTCGCTCTATATCGGAATAATAGTTCATGAAGCTTCTGATGTAAGGTACCAGTTTCATGCTTCATACATTTGAGGTGTGTTTTTAAGGTGTGGCAGTATCTTTCAGCCTGGCCATTTGTGGCTGGGTGTCCCGGTGCTATTAGACTTTGACGGATTCCGTTTCTCGAACAAAACTCTTGAAATTCTTGTGACTTAAAAATGCTTGCATTATCACTTACTAAGATCTCAGGTAGACCAAATCGAGCAAAGATTTCACGTAGAAAATGAATTGTGATTGATGTGTCTGGTGTTTTCTTTGTATAGAACAGCGGTCGGGGAACTTTTTTAATCATTACCCCAAAATATTTTTGTGTAAGTTGATATTACCCCATGGCGAAGAGCAAAAAAAAAAACGAAATCGCCTCTTTTTAGCATCTTTCATATTATAGCCTCCCATGATAATTTTTAAAAGAAAACAATAACTAAAAACTTAATTTAAACATCATTTATTCAATTTATCAATGTAATACCAAGTAATACATAACGGTAATAATAGTAATATAAGTAATATACAGTTGAGGAAAAAAAAATTCGCCCCCACAGAAAATATAAGTAAATGATAATTTCTTGTTATTTTGTAATTCATANCGCTCTCTGACTCGTCTATGTATTTGTATCTTGACGGCATGGCACGGACTGAGCAGGTAGCCAGGGCTGTGCTTTACTGCGCAAAGATATAACTCGAGCACACTCTTGTGGTGGGGAGTGAGATGGTGTGGCCTGCATATGTCGCTAAATTGTTTAAGTTGAAAACAATACTAACAGGTTTATAAAATAGCAAATTAAAAATATACACTTTTTACTCACAAAAGTTTCATTTTTACCCCATTTGGGGTAATTTACCCCGGTTCCCCGACCGCTGGTATAGAATATTTCCGGCCACTTCGATTTGGCATCAACGACAATGAAGAAATAATGATTTATAAATGGTCCTGCGTAATCGATGTGTATGCGTTGCCAGTTTCTTGTAGGTGTTTCCCATTTGTGTATTGGAGCTTTTGTTGGGTTTTTCTTAATGTCACAGCATTCTTTGCAACTTTTAACCATATTCTCGATATCAGAGTCAATATTACGCCAGTAACAGTAGTTTCGGACTAGGGCCTTCATTCGAACAATTCCTATGTGTGTAGAGTGTAGCTCTTGTAGTACTGCTGGCTGTAAACTTCTTGGGACGATTACGCAGTGTCCTCTAAACAGAATGCCGTTGTGTGTGGATATTTCTGGGTCGTACATTTGGCCATTGACAATGTCGTTTTGATCTGTGATAGTTCCTTGTCAATTGATGATTCTCTTTGAATGTCTTTGGCCGTGATAGTTCCGGTTGAGATATGTTTTACAACAGTGTCATGATAAGTATAATCGTGGTCTTTTGTTAGGGCTTCTTTCCCTGTTTCTACTTTTGTTGACGAAATGTTGTTGGCCTTAGTTGTATGGCTGAGTTCATTGATGTCAATCTTTAAACTCCAGATCCAATCTCTTCCTACTATTGCATTTTTTTGAAAGGGAACGACATACAAGTCCTCTATACTGTAGTTGCCACCATGTTTAGTTTTTACTTTTGCTACTCCTAAGGGTTTGAAAATATCACCTGTGTAATTTTGAAAGGTCACTTCCGTTTTCGCTATGGGTGCGTTTAATTGTAAACGATTGAATTCGTCGATACTGATGATAGTGACGCAACTGCCAGTGTCACATTCAAAACAAACTTTTGTGCCGTTAACGTAGATTTCTGTGAGGAGTCTGTCATCAGTTCCCGTTGTATTAACAAATACATCTAGAACGCTGTTTATATCAAAGTCAATTACGTGTTCGTGATTAATATTGTGGACGTTATGATTCCTGTTGATTGTTGACGTTTGTTTCCTTAGGGATGATATGCAAACTTTCCCCGTGTGACCTTTTTTATGACATCGTTCACATTTCAGCCGGTCTTTGATTCTACAGTTTGTTGATTTATGGTTGTTTTTTCCGCAATGTAGGCATAGTCCTTCTAAATGGAGTTCGTGGAGGTTAAGTGGCTCTCCGCTGCGACTTTCTATTCGGCTCCTGTTACGATTTGACGGTTGTGTTTGAAGATGTGAGCATTGTTTTGTTTGAGTATTTTTGATAATCTTATGAACAAAGTGGTTACTTTTATATACTTCGTCGTTTTCTATTTTAGAAGCTTCTATGGCTAATGCAATTTCTAGCGTCTGTTCGAAGGTTAGGTCGGTTTGTTGTAAAATTTTCTCACGGATGTCGGAATCTTGTAAGCCACGTATGAATTGTACTCTTAACATTAGATCTATGACGGATTTTATACAGTCTGCATTGTTACAACTAGACTTGAAATCTGCGCTTTTCGAGAGTTGTTTTAACGAAGTCACGTAATTTGAGATGGACTCACCATTATGTTGTTCTCTGGACAAGAATTTGTGCTGTTCTGTTAGGATATTTCGTTTGGGTGTTAGGTGATTTTGTAGTAACTTCATTAATTCGGCAAATGTTCGCTTCGAGGGTATTTCTGGTGCCGTTAGGTTGGTCAATAACTGATAATGTTTCGGTCCAAGACAATTGATTAATATCATTACTTTAGCTTCTTCGGTAATGGCATCTGTTCCGGTCAGTCCTTTGATTTTGAAAAAGTTATCCAGTTGTTGGGAATAGTTTTCAAAGGTCTCGGACGTTTCGTCGTAAGTTTCGAAGGTTAGGGCTTGCGTTTGGAGGACTTGTTGAACTGATAGTTCTGGTTGCGTCTCCACCGATTGACTCTGTAATTTCTTGACGAACACATTTAGCATTGAAATTAATTCTGTGAGTTCACTCATTTTATCCTTTTTGTCCTTGTTGCCAATTGTATTCTTATCACCAATTCGTTGCCAATTTTACCTTCATCGTCAATTTTATTCTCGTCGCCAATTGTTATGTTCGTGGAAATAACGATAACTCATAAACATATATAACTAGCTTTATTAACATAAACGTAACTATGAGTGAACAACGTATCATCGTGTCCAGATCTAGGGGTTACAAAAAACTAAAGTCAGCTCGTTGAGATAAAGAACACACACGAAATCGGAGGTGTGGGGTGACCTAAGTAGGTCAAGGGGCAATTCCCGGTAGCGGTCATCCCATGGCGGTTTACATACATAACAATATGCCTCAGACTACCCGGCTAAATTTAATTTTCTTTCAACAGTCAGTCTATCTGTTATAGATCTAATAACAGTAAATGTAAATTTATTAGACAGATTACTGGATTTTAAAGTTCTTGATATTTTCAATTCTAATAATTTTCCAATTTCAATATCATTTGAATTTATGTCGAATAGTGTACTGACTCTGAAACTTCCAAAAATTCACTACATATAAAAACAAGAAAGATCAGATGACTATTTATCTTTGATCAGCTTGCTATATATTACAGTTAAAGAGACCTTTCTGTTGGATGTGCAGAATTTACTATGATAAACTATTGAAGACTTTGTTGACTTCAGCTTTACAATATGGAATGATCAAGAAAAATATTTCTTTATCACCATTTGAAAAACAATGGTTTGATCCTCAGTGCCTATGTTTAAAGAAAACAAAGAACCAAGTACTATGAATGTTTCGTAAAAACAAAACTAGAAATCTATTGGATGAATACTGTAAATTAAATAAAAGTTACAAGTCATTATGTAAGACAAAGAAAAAGTTATTTTTGGCTTAAATAAACTCATTATTATTAAAGACAAAAAATACTAGTGATTTTTGGTCACTAGTTAATAAATTTCAAATTAAAAAACTGTGAAAATGCTTTATCCCCCTTGGATTGGTTGAATTATTTGCAAGACTATTTTGCCAGACCAAATACAGTAATTTATATTGATATAATGATTTAAGTTTAGTAATAATGTTTCTCTTTTGGATGATCTTATCTATTTGAGTGAATTGGAAACTGCAAATCAGAAAATTAAAATCATCTAAGGCCCCAGGTCTTGATAATACAAGGAACAAAATGATAAAATACCTTTCTACAGAAATATTACTAGATGTGACTCGCGGATTTTTATGGGCTTTTTAAAAATCCAAATTTTCTGTTAATTGTCTTTGGAAAAAACCCGAAGAATTTGAACTAGATCGGATTTCACCGATTGTATAACGACTAGCTGAGGAAGTTTACAGTTAGGTGTGAAGAATGCACCGTCATCATCAACAAAAGTCAATCATGTGACAGTTTTCCCATGCTAATGATATAAAAGCTCGAATCTCCGGAAGCTCAGGGTGATTCGTCATAGGAAGTTATACTTTGTGATAGTGCCCACCTCGACTCCCGAACCTCCATACAGCAGACTTGATCCAGCTACAGAGAGAGGACATTGGCAAGAAGACACAGAAGACACTACACCCTTCCATACAGACAACATTCGCCAACTCTCTCTTCCACCGAGAGGTATTTAGGGGCTAAAATTTGTAAAAGCGCTCTCTCTCAAACTAGAAATTAGGTCAGCGACATAGCTACGAAATTCGTCGCCAATTTCTGTAAGTATTTTAATATAACCGCATTTAACCTTAGTAGTAAGTTCATCTCTTGTAAAGTTAGATTTAGTTATTCAATAAATGCTTTGTTATTTTGTTAACCTGTCTCCTGTCAATTAAGGACGCCTGCCAACTTACCGAGGCACTCCCCACTTGATTTGCCCTCCTAGCCATCCAACGACCCCGAGATCGGGTTTTACCAGCCTGTGCAGAGTACGTGGTCAATTGGGACCAAACAGTGACCCACTGCTTATCTCACATAGATATATTGGATATGTTTAACTCTTTTTGGTCTAGTTGTTCTTTTCTTTTATCTTAAAAACAAATTGTCTTGAGAATGATTTATAAGAGGGGAAGTAGGCAGACATCAACTAATTATAGACCAATTGCTTTAATTAGTGTATTTAGAAAGGTTTTTTCAACTATTATGGCAAATCGTCTCCAGAATTGGATGAATGAGTTTAATATTGTTACACCTCTCCAAGGAGCATTTGTTAAAAATAGAGGCATTGAATATAATTTGTTTATTTTGACTAGTCTTTTCAAATATCACTTTCAAGGAAATGAGGGAAACTCTATACTGCTTTTATTGATCTCAAGAAAGCTTTTGATACAGTCAATCATGATTTGTTATGGTATAAGCTTAGGAGCATTGGTCTTTCTGCATTGTTTGTCAACTTACTTAAGAGTCTGTTTTCTAATACCAGATATCATATAGAAACTTTTTCATTTTGTACTGATTAGGTTAAGTCTAATAGAGGGCTACCTCAAGGAGAACCACTAAGTCCTACCCTTTTTATTTTGCAATACTGTTCAACCCTTTACTAACACCAGAAGTTTGCTACACTTACAATCAAAAATGGAGCCTGTTACCGGCGTGTATTTTATAAAAATTGTCCCACAAACGTTTTTGAACTTTATGAAGTTCTTCTTCAGGTGGAAATGGAATACTTGAGAAAAATAGAACAGGAGATTTCAAATAGAAAAATTTGCCGAATTCTGCTCTGATGGACATGCACCATTGTGCGTGGGTGTCAATTATTATCGATACTTGTCTAAGAGGAGTTGCCAGGCTGGTGATAGGTTGAGCTCTTCTTTTTGGTTGATGCATGTATTAGTATGGCTCATTTTATAAATAGCCATAGCTTCTAACCATTTTATGTGCTCTGGGTGGGGCGTGGTTGTGGTGATTTTAGTTTGTCGAGTTCTGCCTCAATGTCCTGGTCTGATGCATAAATACTTAGGACTGTAGTGAGCCTTCCGTGTTGTACATCAGCTTGGTGTTCCCTTAATTTGGTCTTTAATGAGTGCTTAGTAGAACCAATACAGATGAGTTCTTTTTGCCATCTGTTATCTACTAGAGGGATAGAGTATACACCATACATTCTGTTGAGATCTGGGGGGGTCTTTCCCGTTTTTTAGGATGTCTGCCTTTCTGTAGGCCTCTTCTATAGATTATTTGTATTTGTTGTTTCTTGGCTATTTCTCTATATATTTCTCTAACATATGGGTTGAAGGTGACAGGGAGTCTTGTTTGTTCGTTCTGGGTGGTGGTATCCTTTGTCTGTGCTGTGGATGTGCTCTTTTGACGATGTTGCCTGCTTATACGCTGTATTAAGAAAGGGTACCCATGCTCAGCTGCAACTATAAGATAAGCCAATTCTGTGTTTAGAGCTTGCTTTGTAGAGGAGTGGGAGATTGCTCTTTTTACTAAGGTTTTGAATGCAGATATTTTATATGAGAACGGGTCACATAATCCCCTAGGTATGTATATTGGCGTTGCAGTAGATTTCAGTAGACTGACATTTGGATGTTTGAGGCTTCTACTTTGATGGCTATATTGAGGAAGTGTGCTTCCATGCTGCTTGATTGCTCTATATTTATAACTAGGCCATAGGGGTTGTCGTTTATAGCCTGCAGAAAGGCTGTTATGTCAGGCATCTTCTTCCATAAGACAAGGATATCGTCTATGTATCTTCTATAGAGCAGAAGGATAAACATTGAGATGATTTTATTCTCCATTTGCCTGACGACTAACTTAGAGGTCTCTTGACACTGGGATACCCATGGGGATGCCTCTTTTTTGCTTATATACTGTGCCTTTGAAGGTTAAGATGGGCCATTTTGAGTATATGGTGGTGCAGTGCTTGATCTTGAATATAATCCAATTAGAAATCCCTGAGGAAGCAAAAAGCAGCTGGGAGCTTTACTGAAGGGTATAGTGACTTGAAATCTAGGACTGTGATGACCTTTGGAGACTCTGGGAGATCTTTAAGCAGATGTATGAGGTTTTCTGAATTTTCAATGGTGTAAGGATAATCCTCTAAGCTTGGTGAAAGAAGGCTGTGGGCAGCCTTTTCTAGTTTCCTTGTAGGTGCTCTTGCTTTGTCAACTATTGGATGGAGTTGTTGGCCAGGTTTATGAGTTTTAGCATATGCAAAGAGCTTAGGAGTGTCGAATGAGTCAACTATTATGTCTTGTAAGGCCAGACATTTTGCTAACTTTGAGTTCGCAAAGCATTTCACGTTTCATTATATTCTCTAGCTTATCTACACAGTCTCTGTTTTCTTTATCACACTGTGTGATATTGATGTAGTCTCTTAGTCCTATTTGGTATGCACCCCTTTTCATAATGACTAAGGATTTCGATTTATCAGCTCTGGTGAGGACAATATCGTTTATTTTCATCCATTTGCTGGTTAGTCAAAGTTTTGTTCTTAATGCCACCATTTCTGGGTGTTCTTTGACTCATGATTTTCAGTGCAGCTACCCATCTATAATATTCCTTTTGTTTGTCGGATAGGTTCTCTGACAAACATGCGCCATTGTGCGCATGTCCATCGAAGTGGAATTCAGCAAATTTTTCTATTTGAAATCTCCTGTTCTATTTTCTCAAGTATTCCATTTCTACCTGAAGAACGAACTTCATAAAGTTCAAAAACATTTGTGGGATGATCTTTTATAGAATACATGCCGGTAATAGGTTCGATTTTTTATTTTGTTTTTGAACGATCTTCCTAACCCTCTGAGAGGTCAAAGTTCTATGATAGCATTGTCTTCTCATGTCGAAATTAACTGTCTTCTTTATGCTGATGATATCATTCTCTTGGCTAATTCAGCTTCTTCACTTAGAAAAAGACAATCTCACTTGGAGATATTGTGAAGATAATCAATTGAAAATTAATTCAGAAAAGACAAAGCTTATGATTTTTCATAGAGGTAGAAAACTTAAAAAAACAGATAATTTCAGTTTAGAAAATCATAAACTGGAAATTGTATTAAATTTTAAATATCTAGGTACAGGTAGGCTTCCTACAATGCGGTACCTTTACAACGCGTTTTCACTCCAACACGGTTGAAAAAATGCAGAAATTTTCTTACAACACGGTACTTTTACAACGCAGTTTACGGTATTTAGAAACGAATTATCTTCACATAACAGAAAAATCACAACGGATCACGTGTATGAGCTGCAGTTCGGCATACAGAGCATACAGTCTTTGAAAACAGCTGTTTGTGGACGTTGGCATGTTATTCTCTTGAAAGTTTCAGGGGAAGACCGGTTTCTAGACAGATGTGCATCAGTTATCGTAAACACTTAAATATATCACTGAATTTTCGATAATTTATATTCTTTCAATACATGGGGACCGCAAAAATGGTCTAAAATACAGTATAAACTCCTATTGGGTGTATATTTTTAACAACATAGTGAAAGGAAGTTATTTTTTTGCAATTTTTACTGTCCACAAAACTAATTGAAAAAATTTTAGCCATAACAATGCCGAATGAAAAGAAAAGACCGTCGTTATAAAGGAAATTTATAACTCTTCAAACAAAGATAGAAATTTTGGATCGAATTAAAAATCAAGAGCGTATAGCTGATATCGGTATGCATTTTAATTTAAATGAGTCGACAATTCTGTCGGGAGAAAAGATCAGAAATTTGGTCGCATCAGGATCATCTATTCTTGCGAAAAATGTTGCTTGTCCGAGAGCACCTATAATAGAAAAAATGGAACAAGCACTAATATTATGGGTAGAAGATATGAACAAGAAAAGGTTGTCTTTAAATAAAACTGCACTTAAACACAAAGCCTTAAAAATATTTGATTATTTAAAACAAATGGGACAGTTGTCAGCTGGTGAAACCAGTGTTAAATTCGTGGCTAGCAATGGCTGGTTTGAAAAATTCAAAAAATGCCATTCAAACGCCAAGTTTTTCACTTTTTAGAACCGAATCCCAGTTTTTGTATTAAGTTGGTGTCTCCTATAATGCGATTTCCCACAACGCGGTATTTTCAAGGAACGTATCTACTGCGTTGTAGGAGGCCTACCTGTATTTATTTTTCTTCACATGGCACATTCTCCTATCATTTAAAAAAGGTTTACTTGCTGCAAGATCTAAAATCTCCAATCTCATCAAGTTACTTATTAAAATTAAAACATCTTCATTAAGTAATTACTTTAAATTATTTGATTCTTTGACTGGACCAAGTACGTTTTATGCTTTTCTGGTTTGGGGCAGTCTTTTAGTAGACAAATTTGAACCAATATAGTTATTCTATTTTAAGCAGGTGTTCCATATTAATAGATTGTCTCAGGACCTGCAGTGAGAATCAAATTGGGAAAAGCTCCCCTTGCTATTGGACTGCCAATAAAATTGTTTAGATTTTGGAGAAAACTTATTGACTTACCAAATGATAACTATCAAAAGGTGATATACATAAGACTTTCACAGATAGATGGTAATTCTTTTTTGAAGTCATGGCCTGCTATTGCTAAAGGATTACTAAATAATATTGGATTGTTCTCTAGTTATATGTATTTAAGTGAAACTTTGTTCTTTTTGGATTGTGATCAATGACTAAGACTTATATTGGCTAAAAGATATCACGTACCTCAGAAAAACCTTTAACAGATGCAAAATAAAATTTAATACTACAAACGTTTTCAGACCCCTCCTGGGTCCTTCTTCAGGTAAAAAAATCGTTTGAAATGTTATTAAATATGAAAAAGCATTTGTTTGGAACGATTTTTAAATACAGAAATATAGAAAGGAATCACGTGATCACTAGCTCCAAACGTCAAATCTTCTACCTCACGTTGAGAATTATTTAAATGTTTCCTTTTTTTTAAAGATTTTACGAAGATCTTTGTTGTTAAGCATAACAAACATATCACATAAATATAGACTACCTCCCTTTTTTTTACTTCCCTTCTTTTAGGTCACTTAATCCTCCTGCTGTATTAGGGCCTGCCATGCCAAAGAGAGATCTCATCTCTGGAATTAATGGGTGAAGAAGTGCTGTATGCTTTGTATATCTCTATCTGTTCCAACCATTTGAGATGGTCTAAATATGAGGAGGTGATAATTAACTTAGCATTTGAAAAGTCTGCTACTATCTCTGGATCAGATGCGTAAGTGGATAAGGACGTGGAACATTTATTATGTTGAATGTCACACAAGTGTTCTTTCAACCTGATCCCAACAGCATGTTTCGTTGAGCCTATGTAAATTAAGTCCTTGCCAAAATGGTGGTCCCTAAGTGGCACTCTATATATCCCTGGCAGTCTTTCTTCCTTAGATTTGCCCTTTCCATTGCATAGAATATCAAATATAGATGGACATCTTCTGAAGGCTAGGGAGATACCCCTCTGCCTTGCGATTCTACTATGTAATGATTTCAATAGTGGGTTGTAGGTAATTGACACCCTCTGCTTATCCTCCTCCTGATTGTCATTTATTGAATTAACTCTTTTAGAAGGAGCCATTATTCCCCTTAACCGTTGCGACATTTTTTGTATGATGTTATGGTAGCCATGGTGTTTGGCCACTTCGCATAGGTATTGCAGCTCCTTTTCTAAAGCCCCTTGAGTAGAGGAGTGTGAGTGCGCCCTTTTAACTAGGGCCCTAAATGCCGCCATCTTGTATTGGACAAGGTCACAAGAGTCTGCCGGGATATATGTTGGATAGTCT